GTATTAAAGGACGTTCTCGTCTCTCCCCTAAGAAACTCAGCCTCTGCCGCTGAGCACACACATCCCTTTTCAATGCTCTCCTCTTCTTACAGCTCCGCCTCCCAGAACAATCACCATACACACTGTCTTCACTCACCGCCCCCTCTCCCCCCGGCTCCTCTGTCATCCCCAATTTGCTGCTCTCCTCACCGGGCCACTGACTCTCTACATCCAGCAAATTCCTTCGGCCTCCGTCTTACCTAACCGTGCAGCGGTCTCTGACATGGATGACCACTCTCTCCTGGAAATCCTCCTCCTCCTTGGCTTTGTGCTCTTGTCCTTTCTTCATCCTGTTTCTCTAGGTCTCTTTTGCCAATTCCTCCTTTTCTAATCAACCTCTAGAAGTCAGAGTTACTTGTAGCTCAGTCTTCAGCCTTTCTTGCTTCCCTTACTCTCTATTTTATATCCAGGAGCTCCAACCCACTTTCACGGCATTGACTACCATTTGCAGGCCAGCGACGACTGAACTGTTATTTTCAGCCAGAGGCTTCTCTTTCACGTGTCAGGTCCCGTGATCCCGGTGCCTACCTGACCCCTCCATTGTGTATTTCACAGTATCCGAAACTCACCGATGCAAACATCTCATCCTCAGCCTCTATCCTGTCTCCACCATTTGTGTAAACTGTACCTCCATCCACCTAGTCACTCATGCCAGAAGCCCCAACCCTTTTCTCCTGCCACATCCAATCCTTCCTAATGTCTCCCTGACATCCTCCCAAAGGGTATCTGGATTCTGTCAACTTCACTTTATTTTCACCACCATCACCCTAGTCTACACCACTAATGTCTTCCACAGAGACTATTTTAACACCACCATTTTCACTTTTCTCACTTTCGTCCTTCAGCCTCCCCCATCACAGCAGCCTGAAAGAGTGGCTAGCTTTGCTTTTTTTTTCCTTCATGGCACTTAATCACTTACATAGTGCTTCTAAATGTGTGTTCATAAACAAATATATCTAAATGTTAACTGATACACTATTAATAATATACTACACACATAATACAAGTAGGCTTAGGAAAAACAGTCACTTTGACCTGAAATTAAAAAGATGGGGGATACACTTTGGGAATACCCTATTACAGTTAATCATCCAACTTCTTATGCATTTTCCCTTGAGCCTTTCAGTGCAGACAAGTAAAAAAAAAAAAAAGATTTTAACAATAAATTAGACCGATCCCATTACTTTTGATATTAACCACTGGCATGTGGTCACTCCCAACCAAGACTGCGATCAAAGCTGGCATAGACGAGAAAATGCCTCTGCTAGGCAGTGTACAACCTTGCCTTATGTAGGAGAAAGTTCAAGAAAAGAGGTGGACACTTATTTCCTTGAACAGCAGCATTACTTCCTGGCTGTGGCCTTGAAGATATTTTTAAGTGTCTTCTGAATGATGATGCACTCTTTAAAGACCCTCCTACCTGTAGCTGAGGCCAATTTGCTCCAAGATTGTGGGTTAGTTGGGAAGTTACACAGTCATGTAGGAATAAGAAGCCAGAACCTCAGAGACATCACTGACTGTAATGGAAGACCTCTCTTATCTGACCTTAAGAAATAGAGTAGGACAATCTCTGCTTTCTGCTCTTTCTTACTAGGTGGGAAGTGGTTTTGTACCTAACAGAGAGATAAATATGGTTTCTGAAATTCCCAAGACAATTAGATATTATAATGAGCACATAATTAGAATGGTGGGTTCCTGACTCTGATTCATCTACATTTCATATATTCTTGGCACCTCTAAGTTTAACAGTGTTTCCAGGTCACTGTCTTGGTCTCACACCCTAAGGTTGTGATGTTATGTTCAAAAATATTTTTATACTGCCTCCAAGGAGTCATGTCTCTGAAGAGAGTTGCTTATGATTTACTTACAGATATGACAATTAAAACTTGGACTGACCATCTTAATTTAATATTTTGTCTAAATAAATTTAGTTAAATAAAAATAAAGCATACTTTCTATTTATTTCAAAGGCAAAAAAAAAAAAGAATAGACATTTATATCATACATACAGACCCCAGACCAGATGTCTTACCTGGTGAACTCCAAGACATTGAGTAATTCGTATCTTTCTTCCTGCCCCAGCTATGAAAAGAGGGAAAACGTGATTACATAGACTTGGAAGTATCTTTAGCTTCTTGGAAATAAACCCTAGTCATGAAGTATTAGTGTAAAAAAGTCAACACAAACAAACTGCCCCTTCTGAAATACATCGTCTTTAACTGAACTTACTCACTCTCAGGCAAAGATGAAAGACTGGACACACACATTTAATTTTCATCCCCAAAGCCCCACTGAAACTACAAAAAACCCTTAGAAAGAAACTTGCAATGGCAGGAAAATAAGAGACATTAGCGCTAACAATTTGGAAGCTAGAAAATAGATCAATGAGATAGGCTAACTTAGCAGCTACGAGGAGTTTCGAATGCTATAGCAGTCATGGGAAAAGCTGAGAACCAACTCAATTTATGTCACATAATCCTTAAGGGGCCTAAGGAAGTGGCATACCAGCTAGTTCTAGAATTGTGGTAAAGGAGGGGCCTCAACTGGGACAGCTGGGCAAGACTAGAAAAGCAGCTCTGGGCACTGGCTGTCCCTGCGTGCTGGCAGAAGACCAGAGGCTTTGCTCTATAAAGGGTAAAACAGAGGTTCTTCTGTCCAGAAACTGATTGGCACAGTTGAAGACATGGCATTGTGGTTATATTCGTATTATATGCTGGGACCCAATACCCCCAACCTACTCAGTCCCCCACATTCTAGCCACCAGACCTTTCCAGGCAGACATGGGAAGACGGCTCTCCGGGGAACCCAACCAGCCCAAGAAAAGCCCTAAAGGTACTTACTGACAACTAACTACCACCGTCAACATGAATCCCACCAGACCACCCTGAAGTGAAGCCGGATGTTGAAAAATACCCTCTTACGCTCAGAACCCCCTGCCTCACCAGCTTTCAAGGTCTTCACTTCTAACCATGAGAAAACCTAAGATTTACAGGTATCCAAGGACAGTGACTAATGTGCTACACAAGTGCCCAAAATACACTTTGGGAAAATAGGTAAGAGCAATTTGGAGGAAAGCGAATTCAAGAAGAAAATGTCCACTTCAGCCTGTGGAGTGTCAGGTTCTGGGTTTCCTGATGGGTATAAGGGTCTGGTGAGCAGGTCCTGGATGCCTCTTCCCTGAGTTTCACCACCACGATGAAGTGGTCTGTCGTGGCTTTGTGTGTGGCATTTTCTGTTGTATCATTGGAACTGGATTGCTGTGGCTCCCGGTGGTGTAAAACTTTCTGCATTGTTTTATACCCTTGGGAATATTATTCACCAGTATATGCTTTTTAAGGGGACCCATGGAGCAAGTGAAGAAAATGTTTGAAATATTAAAATTGCTTGTAACAGTTGTTCCGTTTTTGTGATTAACATTTATGTCCTATGCTGTTCTTTGGTGACAAAGGAGGAGACTGGCCTTTTGTTCTGCATACTGCAGCTCTGGTCAAAGGTCTGGCACGGTCTGTTATACATCCCACACGCAAGTGATGCAGTAATTAAATGCTGCTCTTTTCTCCTAAGTGGAGGAGGGGAAACTCTGGAAAAGAACGCCTGAGATTTGGTATTTAATCTTTAGTGAAGTATGCTTTCCCAGTACAATAATCACTGCAAAAACAACTACAGTGACAGTTTAAGGCCATTTTATATTCTAGTAAAAACTATACGCTTATTTAAACTGTTAAATGCTTGTAGCTGCTTTTAAAAAAGAAAGTATGAAAAAAAACTATCATTATTCCTCTCGAAGTAACATAAGTATAACGTGTGAAACAAGAACAGGATGCTACTGAAAAAAGAAATATTGAAAAAACAAAAAAAGCTTCTGGAAACTAAAAATATGATAGCAGAAATGAAAAAAAAAAAACCTCAATAGAAGGCTAAGAAGATAAAGCACAGGAAAATTTCCAAAAAAGCAGAATAAAAAGGCAAAGACATGAAGACTAGGACAGAAAAGTTCAGATTAGCTCAAGTTCTAAAAAGAGAGAGCAGAGGAGAAAGAGGGAAGGAAAATGAGTGGATTCACTCAAAGAAAATTTTCCAGAACTAAAGGGTATCAATTTCCAATGGAAAAGGATCCACTCGGTGCTCAGTACAATGGGCTGAAATATTCCCAGTAAGGTACACAGTCACGAAATTTCAGAACTCCTGGGGCAAAGAAGGTCCCACCACCTTCCAGGGAGAGAGGGCGTGGGGTAAGTCACAGAAGACTGGACTTGCAATGGCTTCTGACTTCTTAGTGAGGGGTACTGGGAGCCAGGAGATGGAGGAGCAATCAGAATTCGTACGGAAACCGATTTCCACCCTGGAGTTCTACATGCAGCAGGACTACCGATTAAGTATAAATGTTTATACTTGAGCAGTGAATGCAGTTTTGTCCCTGCAGTTAGTTAAATACAAATGGCAATGAATTCTACCATGGCTCCTGGAAAGGGAACAGATAACTCTTTTTTTTTTAGGTTTTTTTTCTTTTTTTTTTGATGTGGGGAGGTAATTAGGTTTATTTATACTTTTTTGAGGGAGGTCTTGGGGATTGAACCCAGGACCTCATGCATGAGGGTCGCACGCTCTGCCGCCGAGCTATACCCTCCCCCCTAAGTGTTTACACTTGAAAGGACTAAATAAACAAAAATACAAACAAATAGCTTCCCATGCCCCTTTTCTCAAGAAGCCAATAAAGAATGTGTTCCACAAAAACAAGGGTAAACCAAGAACAAGGAAGACATGAGGTTTAGGAAACAGAAGCTCTAACACAGGAGACAGGTAAGGAAAATCCCCCGGGACACAGGAAAGCGATTCCAGCGGGGTGCCCACGCACGAGACACAAGTGTCCACCGGCACAGCCCCGACCCCTGAGCCAGAGCTGGGTTTCCTGAGGGCTTTCACGACTGTGCCCTCTGCTGCTGTAACACCTTTCCAGTAGGATGACACTGACAGAAAATGTGTTATATCAACACAAAGAGTTTACTAAGAAAGAAGATTTGACTTCCAGGGAAGAGAAAGTCCAAAACCATGAGAAAATCAAAAGGAATTCCAAGTGCCACAGAAGCCAGTCTCTGAACAAAAAAAAATTTTGTTTTCGGCCCATGCCAAGGAGAATGGAGGACTTCAAGAGGGATGTCTCAAGGAAAGAACTACCCACTGGCAGATTATCTGGTGTAACTGTACTGACAAAAGTGCACTAAGATGATACAGAACAACTAGTGATAGGTAGACAGAAAATTAAGCCATTGGAAAAAAGATAAGAGATTTATCTTTAGGAAATGAACAAAAAAATTACTTTCAGGTGATAATTTTATATTTGGAAACACAATATTAAAAAAAGAAAAATACTGAATACAATAATGTTCTGCTAGAATTATCAGCACAGGCATAATAATAAAAACACTAGTAATTTTTTGATGAGATATAATTCATATATAACAAAGTACATAGATCTTAAAATATAGTTCAGTGAAAATTACATAGTTTGACAGAGGTTTACTTGGTGTAACCACCACCCCAGTCAAGATACAGGACATTTCCTTCATCCCATAAATTCCTCTGTGCCCTTTTCCAATCTCCTCCCTGACCCTGAGGCAACCACTATTCTGAACTCTGTCACCACAAACCACTTTTTCCTGATCTTAGGTGCATATAAATGAAATTAAAGAGTATGCACTCCTCTGTGCCTGGCTTTTTCTTTTGGTGCTCAACAAAATGTTTCTGAAATCTGTCTATGCTGTTGATGGATCAGTATTTCTTTTTTCATTTTTGTTGCCCTGTTTAGATATGCCGTTGTATGAGTGTATCACAATTTGTTCCTCTTACTGACGGACATTCAGTTTGTTTCTAGTTTTTGGCTACTATGAATACGGCTGCTGTGAACATTAAACATCAATCTGTGGACATACGCTTTCATTTCTCCTGGGTAAGTGTGAGTACAACCGCTGTATCAGGTGCATGTTTACCTGTGCTGGGAAACTCTAAAAGGTTTTCGAAAGGGATTGTATCATCCTGCACATCCACTAGCAATACACAGATGCTCCACTTGCTCTACATTTTTGTTAACTTTCGGTGCTGCAATGTTTTTAATTTTACCCTTTTTTGGTGGGTACATAGTGGCATCTCATTAGACTGTAATTTGCATTTCCCTGGTGACTAATGATGTTTTTTCATTTGCTCACTAACCATTTGTATATCTTCTTTTGTGCAATGTTTGTTCAAGCCTTTTCCCCATTTAAAACTCTGGGTCTGAATACTTGTTTAACTGAACAGTGTAATATAATTATAATACTACTGGGAAGGGATGGTGAGGCCAGAGAAATAACTCTTCATTTAATAAAACAGAATAGAAAGTCAGTAGATAATGTCTAAAATTGAAGAATCAAAACATACATCAGCCATCATACATTTTTACAAACTGTGAGATGTGTAAATGCCTGAAGAAACAGTTAAAAGAACAGAAGGTGGTTGTTTTGGGAGAACAGAGTAGGGGATCTCTGTTTTATGATGAGCTCTTTGGTAGTATTTTACCTTTGAAGCTACGCATATGTATCGCTTTAATAAAAAAGAGACTGAAAAATAAATAACTTACTGAATCTATAATCACTGAGTCAGGTGTCCTTCCAGTGAAAACAAAATTCAGTTGCTTGGCTGCTCTGACCAAGGCTCCTTCATCTGTTTTAGGAACAGAAAAGCAAGCAAATAGATGGTGAAAAAAAATTATCTCCAAAACAAGAGAACTATGTTACTGCAATACAGAATTTTCTGCTTAATTCTAACAAGAATTAGAGTTCTTTTCATTCTGGCCCCTGTTATTGAAGTCTGTTTGTTTTTAAATTATATGACAATGCCAAAGGAGTGAGTAAAATGCTCTTAAGAATCTGAGACATGTACAGACCCCAGAGTCAGATTTCTGAAGACTGGGTCTCATTGTTAGACATACACATCTCAGAAGGAGAATTTAAATGTAACCCTTGGTCCAGCGTATTCTCTAGAGAACTTTTCTCAAAATGAATAATGCATAAAAAACGAGGAAATCCTACATTTGCAACAACATGGACAGACCATGTGGGCATGATGCTAAGTGAAATAAGTCGGACAGAGAAAGAAAAATACTGCATGATCTCACTTATATGTGGAATTTAAAAAAGAAAAGAAAAGAAAGAAAGAGACCCAAACTCATAGGAAAAGGGAGCAGGTGTGGTTATTAAGGGTGGAGGGAGGGGGAAGGAGGAATTGGAACACAGTGAAAGGCACAAATTCCAAGTTATAAACTGAAAAAGTACCAGGGAACACAGTTATGTATGTCAGTTATTTAAATAAAACTGGAAAAAAACGAATGAGACAAAATGGCCTTGTTTTACCCTTTTCCTCCTAAAATGCTGAATGTAGAAAAACTAACACTACTGCTATTTAGGGTGCAATTTAAATGGATAAAAATGAATTGACGCTTTATGGCATCATATACTATCTACTTTCATCACCATTTATATCAAACCTTGTTTCTGAGGGTAGGGTGTGGGATCAGAAAACATTCCCATAGTCTCTATCCTAATGACAGGAGATTCATCCTAATGGTTTTTAGGAATTGGCACATTCTACAAGGTTGCAGGTGTTGGTTTAGAATACAGCTTAAAACATTTATAACAAAGTTCTCCAAAGTGTGCTCTTTCTTTCTTGAAATCTTACAATCATCAAACGAACTACTTACCCAATTTTCCATTGAAAAGAAGCCTAAACACTAAACACTGATAACTGTGCTAACACATATTTCATGGAGTCCCTTCAAATGTTCAAAACTTTGCTCATCCATATAAATACGCAATGGGCTCCCTGATGGTCATTTCCAAAAGAAGAAAGCAAAGCTGGTATTCCAAAATGCACACTGTTCAGGCAAACAGGCCTTCCTTTTCCAGTTTCTTATCTGCAAAAACTTGACTATCACTTTATTCTTACTTATTTACAAAGAAGGGAGAGCTTGCTTGTATATATTAAAAAGTACCATTTTTTACTTGTGTGAATTTTGTCATTCAAATTTCCATGTAATTTATGTCATATAACAAAAATTACACATACAAAGTTATATATTTTAGCATAGACATAATTTTGAAAACCAACGTTTTTCTAATTAGTAAGTAAGATTTTTGATTTAAAAAATGAAACTTGGTTACTTTATTTCACAAAATTAAATTGATTTTTTTCTGAACAATCTCAAATTTCAGAACAATTTTCCACCAAAACATTACATCACAATTGCTTCATTTGTACCTGGAGATGCAGCTTGGTAAATAATCTTATCACCTTCTCGCTCTGGTACTGCTGTGTGACAAACGGCCATCATTGTAAGAAACTCACAAATTATAGGTGCAGTCGGCTGTCAGAAATGAACACAGAATTCACCCCTTTTCATTTAAACGTCTTGACACTGATGACAGTATTACTACCTCATGTATATCTATTAAAAGTGTGGCTTGTGGCTGTTAACTATTGAGGGTGTGGAAGCCAAAAAGTCAACATCCATTATGAAGAAAAATATTTCTAACTGAAATCATCCATTCTTACACCTTCTCATTTCTTTTCCAAACATTTATGCAAGACCACTTTGTCTTGTCAAATAGAAACAGTATAGCGAAAAAGACGGATATGGTTGGATCCTGTCATCAGGGAACAGGAGAGAAGCTCTAAAATGTTCATTTACCTGGTTCCTGAATTCTAATGTAAATTTTAGGCACCTAACCTCTCTGTGGTTCCACCACTTTGGGTTGGGGTGATGATGGCTGGGAATTCCTCAGTAATGTTTTGTCCTCTCTCTTTGCAAAAATGGCAACCTTAACCGATACATGTTTTACTTAATAAAAAAAACTTGATTGAGCCCTTGGACCTAGAATTCTACAGCCTGAGGAAGACATAAAAGTGGACGCTTTCTGCAGGAGCTCAGACTTTACAGGAGACAAGAAGCCAGATTTTCTTCATCTTCCTGATGAAGAAAAACGTCATTCAAATTAATAAAGGGGAAATATTCCTCTATGCTCTTGGACAAAAACAAACAAAAAAAAGAGCTGATTGGAAAAGTAAATCAGAACAGTAACTGAAAAAACCGTGTTCAGGCTGGAACAACAGACAAAATAGACCAGGCCCTGTGATGTGAAGTTTTGACTTGTGGGGAAAGTACAGAACACAGATAAACAGTTCACAAATATTATTTCAGTGTGAAAAGGGCTACAAAGGAGAGAATGTGTAAATATCATGAATGTGACTTGGGCCAGTCTGGGGTTGTTCTCAAGACCACATGATACTTCAGCTGATGAGGTTTTAGCATCATGAAGCACTGAGCAGAGTTCTCCACCAAGCAGGAATCAGACATGACTGAAAAAGCCCCAAAGGAGGAAAGAAGGAAGTGTGAGAAAAGAGAAGAAATCCAGTGTGGCCTGAGAAGAAAGAAAAGGAGAGTGGCTCCCAGTGAGGGTGGGGCCTTAGGCAGGGGCGGATGACGTAACTTTGTAACTGGAGAGGGAAGTCAGAGCGTGGTTTTAAACAGGGCAGTGATGGGACTTGATTTCCACCGGCCTCACTCCACCTGCCATGTGTAACAAGAACCGGAGGGGGTAAAAATGGAAATGCGGAGAATGGCTGGGAGACCACTGTGGTAATTCATCCGGAGCGCACTGGTAGTCTGGACAAGGGGCGAATAAGTGAGAATGGAGTGAAGCAGATATTCAGGATATGTTGTAGAAGTCACACTGACAAGGGCGCAGTGACTCATCACAGATCTGGACACGGAGGGAAAAGAGGTATCAAAAACAACCCTAAGGTCCTCGAATGAGGAAGAAGAGAGGTGATGGTGCAATTTACTGAAACTGAGAGCACCAGAGGAAAGAGGTGGGTCTAGATCTAGGTTTTGTGGATCTCGAAGCTCATGTTTTGCTGAAGGCAAAAATACCCATATGAACACAATGTTAGGGCCCCACCCTGGGCACAGTGGGTAAATCTACCAGTGCTAGGAAGGGATTAGGTTTCGGGGTAATGAGCATGTGTTCAAGTTTCGACACACTAGGCTTGAAGCAATTATGAAAAAAAGGTTTGGGGTTTAAACTTAGGAGACCATATCATTTGATCTGATGGAATTTTAATAAGTTTCAGTAGCTTCACAAGTGGCATGTTCACATTGGGTGGCAGGTGTCTGAAGTGCTTACTGTGTACGTTTGGCACTGGCCTACAATTTTGAGCAGGTAATCCATTTTTACAGATATTTTGAAATTAACAATGACTTGTTTCATACAAATAGAGTTCTAGAATATGAAATAGTTTAAAAAGACAGAATATTCATGATACTATTACAACTAAATTTCTAACAACCATGAATTCATGTTGGCCAAGTAAAAGGAATTTAGCAACAGATTTTGATAATTATTAAAAATGATCATGAAACTAAAGAAGGAATATATAAACATGGAAGATAATCAGAGAAACACTCATTAGCTTTCATTTATTAATGAAAAGTTAATGGTTTTATATTGCTTACATGATTATTTTGGAGGTTTTCCAGCAATGATGAATCACTAAATGTTTTTTCATCTCCAAACTGTGAGTTCTGCCTAAAAGGAAAAAAATGAAGCAAACTTGGTTCATTTATACAAGCCCATTGATCTATTTGTAACTTACTTTTAAAATAAATCTTTGTGCCTGAAAACCCCTTAAATATAATTTAGCTTGCATTTCTAGATGAGACATCACAGATTTCATGACTGAATCATAAAATATTTTCCAACATTCAAAATGTGAAAGCCTTTGCAGTGTAATGAAAAATAGTACTTTACAGTTTATTTTCTGGGAGTAAAATTATGTTGTAGTCACCTGAAGTTTTAAAAAATTAATTCAAAAATGTAACAAAACTGCTAAAATACCTGAAGCTGAATTTTTCCACTTCTATAACTTTACTAAGTTCTAAGAATTTTGAGAATTAACAGAGTTATTATAAAAATATTAATTCTTTTACTTTAGCCATGAGAAATCTTTATTTGAAATGACTGATACTACATGATTATCATACGAAACATAAAAATATGAATCAACTGTTTTCTTATTTTATCAACATCTATCACTAACAAATACCTGATATATTTACATACATAGCACATTTATTCTGTATATGTATATAAGAAGAACAAACCATAAATGTGTATGGGGTTTTGTGTTGTGGCTGTCTTCAGATCAGCAAACATGAACTTTATATGAAACAAATCGAGTCAGAATGACCTCTATAACCAGGCTACTACTAATCTCATGGCCTTGCAATTTAATATCAGTGTCGAGATTCAAAGGAAAGACAAGGAATATTTAAGAGGAAATGTCTAACTCCAAGGGTATACTTTTTAATGTTCAGTGAAAGTATATAGAACTAAACGTCTGTGCACAGAAGGAAATTTCAGAATCCCTGGAGAAAAAAATTGTGTTAATACTAAATAATTATAATCCAGAAAGCTTTAGATCACAATTTTTAAAGGTTACAAAGAATACTACTAATGCCCATGTGCTAAATAAACTAGTTTATTATTCAGGGCTCCATAAAAATCTCCCTATTATTAAAACATATTCATTAATGAGTCTTAGTTATACTTTCCCACCTCTTTGTTAGATAAATTGAAATGTCAAGGAATATTCACAGTCACATCTTTCATGTGCAGATCTATTTTTCTTCTAAAGAATTCCAGACTAAAAGCCTTTATAAATCTGAAGATATATCTTCTTAATCTTGCCAGTAATTCTTTCATTTCATTAATCACAGTCACCACAACTGACACAACTTGCAAATGTAGTTATAAACAACTAGGGACCTTAGGTATGCAATTGCAATATTTACACGCACATCCTTCCCTTTATTCACTAATGAAGACTTCTAACAGGGGTGATGCTAAGTAACTCTTCTCCCAGAAAGTGGCATCCTTTCCCAGATCATAACAACATCTGCTAATCACACAGCCCAGGTTAGACAGCTCAGGCATGGAGCTCTCTCCACTCGTCTCCAAAATCTCACAAAATG